TTTTCTAGATTATGCACATTGTCAATAAACTCATTGCAACAGTCACCATATTCCTTGAGCAATGATGGACTATGAAAGCAATCATTGAGCAATGATGAACTATGAAAGCACTATTACATCACAATTCTCCCTACACTTCACTTATTTCTCCAAACACCTCCCATGTTATGCATTTTCCTTGTTAAAGTCAAATGAAAATTAATGATGGATTAATGATTTTGTAACCATTAGTAACCCTCCTAATTCGTCCTACATGCATCTTCTTCTTTCTTTTTACTTTTTTACTTTTATTCTTCACTTATTCACTTTCACTGTTAAGTTGTTTTCAAAGTTAAGGTTAAACAGTAGTGATTGTTTAGTGGTGTTGTGGACAGTAGAGAAGGAAGAAGTCTGGTGTTGTGCACAGTGGAGGATGAAGAGGCATCAAGAGCTCACGAGGTTAGTACATTAGTTGAAGCAAACACCTTAATCGTCGATGGAGCTGCGATTAAGGTGGCGCAATCAGATCGTCGGTTAGACGTAGCCGAAATTCGAATTTCGGCTGAACCCCAACTGCACTTTGACATGCGGTTGAGGTGTGCTGCACTTCCAAGTGCGGTTTCATCCATTTTTTTATCCAGTTTATTTTGCATGGTTCTTTATTTTCGTAGTTGCACGTTTTATTATTATTTCCTTTAGTATAAGGAGAGTGGACGAGAACAGAGGGAGAGTTAGGTTTTATTTTTCTTTTATTGGCCATGTAGTGCATAGGAAAAGATAGAGTTACAACATAATAGTGGAAAAGATTGAGGAATGATATTTTCAAATAACAACTGGAGGGTTAGGAATAGTAAGTGAGGTTTTGTGTTATACATTATAGTGAGGATAATATTGTTTCTGCATGCAGAGGGAGAATGGAGATGCGTTTCTAATAGATTGGTATGAGGTGAGTGTAGAGAGACGCAAATTCATATTTATAGTTGATGGAGGGAGGAGTTAACCGTGATTTAAGTGATGGAAGGAGAGAATTATTATTTGATATTATCAAGTTTCGTTGCAGAGGTTGAGGTTTTCCCCTTTTAAGCTTGAAATCTTCCTTTTAGAAAGATGTGTTAGGTGAAGTGGGTTGGGTCCATTTGGGGCTTCAAAGAATTAGAAGAATATGTTGTTGAATGCAGTGCTACAATAAGGGAATGAAAGAATATGTTTGTGGGTTTTAGAGTTAAGTAAAATAAAGAAAAATGAAAGGAAGAGAAAGAAGGGTTATAACATTAGTAAAAGAGAAAGAGAGGAATGGGTTGGTCGTAAGTGAAGGAAATTGGAAGAGAAAAGAATAAAGAAAAAGAAAAAAAAGACCAAATATGAATATGGTTAGTAAAACTGAATTAGATACTAACCTAATAAACAAAAAACACAAACAGTCGCTCCTAAAGCACAACCCTAAAACGCAACTCGTTAACCGTAACTCGTTAAGTGCAACTCCAAGTGCGGAAACAAAAAGCCCCAATTCCAAGTGCGGTTCGCCTCAGCCGCAGATCCAACTATGGGCCACCCACATTCGCACTTCCAAGTGGCCCGACCATGCAACTCAACCGCAGGTCCAACTGTAGTTACCATCAGGCGCAAATCCAACTATGGCACCACCTCATCCGCACATCCAAGTACAACGGGCATTAACCACAATTCCAAGTGCAACTATGCCTACAACTCCTCCCGGTTCCAACACCCAGCCCTGATCAAGCACAAAAACCATGCTCAAGCGCATATCAACCAGAAATCAAGCACAAACATATATTCTATCATACAACAACACAAAACAATGAACAAACGAGGGAGGAGGGGGAAGGAAGAGCACGGAGGGGAGGAGCACCAGAGAGGAGGAAAATGAAGGAGTCCAGCCTTTCAGAAAGGGGGTGTAGGTTTCAAATGTGAGATGCGGCAGAAGCTTTGAGGATGTGTTAACTTTTTTATAAAATCAAAATATTCTATTGACACTGACAGGGGTACAGTTGAAATTACAAAAGAATTGGGAGGTGCAGGGAGAAGCGCTCCTGATTACACATTTTTTTTCATCATCGCTTGAGAGTTGAGAGGTGACTTGACCCAAATTTTCAACCTAAAAATAACCACCCTTAACGACATTCAAGAAAGCTTTCAACCAATCTTTATTCTACAAGAGATACATTCTTACATTATTTCAAACATCCATGTATATTCTTTCGTACTAAAAAATGTTACTATTTATATATCTAATATTTTCTCTTTACATATATCCAAATTCATACTCAAAATATACATATAACATTTTTTTATACAAATATCTAACATTTCAATTGCATAATCTACACTCCTAAACAATTAAATGTCCTCCTAAATCTATCAAGTAATATCGTTCAAGTGATTTATTGTATTTGAGATATTGTCTACTTTAAAATATATAATTATATCATGATTTTGTTTTTAAAAGACATTCCAACGAATGGAAAGAGAAAGAAATATTTTAAGATGTTGTTTGGTCTTCTAAGTAATGTTATTATTGGACGTATCGAAACATAAATCCTCAATCAAAGTTAAAGGAAATGAGAGTTCATCTCCCTATAGAAAGCTAAAGGAAACCACTTTCGTTTTTCATAAATCACCTCAAATGTTTCGATCTTAAGTAAGTTGAGTGACAATCACTTTATCTAAGGTATTATCCGTTTTAAAGTATAAAATTTCATCACAATTTTTTTAAAAAACGCTTCAAATAATAAAAAGAAGAAAAAAATTTAAACAATTCTTTAATATCTATATGTGACTATTAGTCATACCAAAACACAAACCACTTAATAAAAATAAATATTAACTTGGATTAAAATTGTCCTAACAAATGACACTTTTAAAATCCTAAATTAATCTAAATAAGCTTATAAAATCAAACAGTATCTATTAATATATCACCTAAAAAGTATAAGAAAATAAATTATTCTTTCAGTAGAAATTAATCCACTTGTTTAAAATTCAGTCGTGAGTTGTCCACAAATATTTTTATATTGTAAGTTCCTCATAATATAATCAAATTACAATACATTAATTATAATACTTTCTACTTTCTAATTTAGAGAGAGTCAAAGAATTTAAATTTTAGTGCAATAAAATTCTAAATGAAATAAAAAACAACCATTTATATTCTATTTTTAAATTTATTTTCCTATATATTTAATATATAAATATTAAAATAAAACTAAAATCTTATACTAAATATGCCTTCACTGTGGGAACATTTTAGCTAATTTATTTATTTAAGTTTAGTATTTTAAGAAATTATTTTAAGTCATTAATTCATCAATGTGTTTAGTTCAGTTCATTTAATTTGACAGTACAAAGTAAGTTGTTTATTTCTTCTGTGAGATATAAATATTTCATTGCCATTTCCTCTTATATTGAATTTTAGTGTCTAACAAGTTCATCTAGATTAGTATCAGAAAAATAATACTCTTTAAAATAAATTCAATTTATCAACCTTTCCTTCACTCTTTTATTCCTTAAAGCATCAATGTGTTTCTCTTCGTAAATATTAGAAGCTATAAAACATCTAACTATTTTTAATACTTTCAATAAAAAAAATTTATTACTGAAAATATATTATATAATTTGGTAAAATATATTTTTATAAAAAAACAAAAAATATATCTGAGAATAGTCTTTCTGGTAAAAAAAAAAACTCTTTTAACAAGATTATTATATTATAAAAATAAATCAGACGAAATCTATTTAAATAAGAATTCTGTATATGTTTCCATAACAATAGTATAAATATATTATTTTTAGCAAAAACTAACGGAACTTTAACGGAAAGTTTAAAAAAAATAATGGAGATTTTAAAATTGATCATATACTTAAATATGCCTAGGAAGAACAGTGTACATAAACATAAGCATAATAAGAAGAAAAAAAATTACTAGTACTTATCGACATATTGTACATAAGACTATAGTATATTTTTAATTTTTTAATTTAGATATAAAATTAAAATTTATTTTTTTCAACGCTTTTAAATATTTTAGTTTTAAATGTTAGAAATGAATGTACTATTTTAATATAATTGTGTTAAATTTTTTTTATAAAGCATGTTTTTTAGTTGATATTAAATAAAAATTTATTAAACAGTATAAACAATTTAATATTAACATAAAATATGTTAAAAAAATTAACATAATTAAATTAAAATAACTATCCCTTATTTTTGAAATTTAAATATTAACATATATCAAAATCATTCTTAAACGATTTCTAAGTTAAAATTTATGAAAGACATTTAACCCATGAATAATGTATCCATCCAATTTGAAGAAAAACACGTCCTTTTGAGTATTAAACTCATCTTAATTATAATAAGATTTTTTTTACCGTACTAGTTTATGATTATTGTGCATTGATATGAATATTTTATAACATGTGAAGGTAAAATATTTCGCACATCATTTTTTATGCATAACATATCTATTATCTATCACAGATAAAAACAATTTAAAAATTTGTAAATGATTTTAATTATAAATAAAGCCTCAAAATTGTTCAATATTTATGTTATGAAAAGCAGAAGAAAGTCAATGAATTTAACAGTTGTATATTTCATCTTAAATTATTTTCATTTGTATATATAATAAAAATTATTTATAAATATGTGTGGTTACAAAAAAAAGTTCACTAAATAAATGGATATTCATTTAATGACGCCCCACATGGGATTGGAGCAAATTACTGATAAACCCGTCATAAATTTATAACTTGAGGTGTGAAATTAATTACACTTTTTCTACGTACAAATTGAACTAATATTCTCAATAATTAAATTAAACATTAATTGCATACATAAGCAAGCAAATGCAGACGTATTTTGTTGTTTCATTTAAAAAAAATAAGAGAAAATATTATTCTTTCAAGTTTATTTTTTCAATAAAGAAGGGAAATTTATCTGAAAGAGGAAGAAAGCGTGAATGATAAAAAAATGTAATAGAAAGAAGTATCTGTGAAAAAATGAGTCATTCCACGAGAAATCGAACCCCACCAGAGCCTGGTCCACACCACACCATTTATCACTCTCGCGTCTCATTCTTCTAACTTCATCTCTTCTTAACTCTCTTTTTTTCCATCCCCACACCTTTCTTTTTCTTTAACCTTTCTCTCTCTCTTCGTTCGTGCATGGCGTCTTCGGCGTGTGTGACGGACTTGGCTCGAACGACGGCGTGCAGGGACGGTGCGGCGGCGGCGCATCTCAAAGTGGTGTCAATCTTCGTTATCTTCGTGACGAGCGTGGTGGGGATGTCGTCGCCGGTACTCCTAGCCGGGATCTTCCGCGGGAAGCCGCTCTACGACAAGGCCATAGTCGTGATCAAGTGTTTCGCGGCGGGGGTGATTCTCTCGACCTCGCTGGTCCACGTGCTCCCAGACGCGTACGCCGCACTCGCCGACTGCCAGGTGGCGTCGCGCCACCCGTGGAAGGACTTCCCTTTTGCGGGGCTCGTGACGCTTGTGGGCGCTCTTCTGGCGCTCCTGGTGGACCTCGCGGCGAGCTCGCACGTGGAGCACGCGCAGTACTCGCCGGTGGTGGCGCAGGAGAAGGAGTTGGAGCTCGGCGGAGGCTGCCATGGGTCCGGCGGCGATGGTGAAAGAGGTGAAGAATTGGTGAAACTGAAACAGAGGTTGGTTTCGCAGGTGCTTGAGATTGGGATTATTTTTCACTCTGTGATAATCGGAGTTACCATGGGAATGTCTCAGAACGTTTGCACTATTCGACCTCTCGTTGCTGCTTTGGCATTTCATCAAATATTTGAAGGCATGGGTCTCGGTGGATGCGTCGCTCAGGTTTCTTTCACTTTCTTCTTCTTTCATTCTTAAATGCTTTCATTCAATAAATTATTAGGTTTTGTTCGAATGACCGTGTTTTTAATTGGATTTCTGAAATTCAATAAATAAATGCAAATTCTTAGATAATCTGTTGATTATAATTATATAATTAGATTATACATTAAAATTTGAACTGAAAAATAGTACAAGGTATATAGTTTCTCTTTCCGGTAATTAAGGGTAGTTATAATAGTAAATCATCATCTAAAATTATTGGGATAAAGACTCCTATAACTTCCCAAATTAAATTAACCTTAGGGGATTGATTTGGTAATTTTTGTGGATAAGGATGGATTTCTATTCAGGCCATTTTAGTGTTATTTATAGAATTGAAAAAAATAAGATATAGTGTGTTCCTTTTATTTTTTTTTAATTTATTATTAATGACCTCTCCAGATTATCTTATCCATTAATTCAAACATGGGTACAGTTAAAAATGAGTTAAATACAATTTTGCAAAGATAAAAGTGTATATGAAATAGTCTATGGTATGGTCCTCTTTTAGAAAAGAGGCAATGGAGGAATATTTTAATTAATTTATTACCTGTCTTTGTGTGGCTTATGCAGTCACGAGAGAAAATGACGATTGCGAATTGAAAATCTTTATTTGCATTTTTTTTTGAGATCATAGCTTCACCCCTGTGACTGCTATGATAATAATAAAAAGGGAACAAAATAAATATTCTATTGCTCCTTCACTTCTCTCACTCCCAATCAATAACAATGTTTAAAGTGTTCACAAAGTCATTTTGATAATCATGATAAACTATTAATTTTTTGTTTTCATTTGTAATTAATAAAACCGTAGCACCAATTACCCTCCACCTCTCATGTACGTGTTAAAGGTTTTTTTATTTTTCAAAAACAATATGGTTTTCCAAAAAAATAATTAAGCTATGTTTTTGTTATCCCATATACCTACAACTATATATATATTGATTTAGCTTAAATTTTTATTTCAATATTTTTCATACTAATTAGATTTTTATATGAGGATTGTTACAGGCTGGATTTAGCTTTGGAACAACTGCGTACATGTGTTTGATGTTTGCCGTGACAACACCAATGGGAATAATGTTGGGGATAATATTGTTCTCACTGACAGGTTACGATGATAGCAATCCAAATGCTTTAATTTTGGAAGGACTACTGGGTTCAGTTTCATCTGGAATACTAATTTACATGGCCTTGGTTGATCTTATAGCAGTTGACTTTTTTCATAACAAGCTTATGAACTCTACTACTCGGTTGAAGAAAATATCTTTTGTTGCTTTGACTCTTGGTTCTGCTGCAATGTCTATCCTTGCCCTATGGGCTTGAAAATTTTTTGCCTTAAACTTTCTATTAGATGTGCAGCTTGGATAAAACAAACCTACACTTGAATCATATAAACCATTTCAAAATGGTTCCTCTCATATTCACTGGTATCAATTCATATCTATGTTATATAATTTAGGAAACAAAATTTATTGGTTTGAATATTTTGTAATGATCGAAAAAAATTATGCAAAAAAAGGAATGAAATAGTGGTATTGAATATTGGTATTAAATGTGGAAAAAAACTTCATACATTAGCAGAACCATAAACAAAAAGGTGCAAACAATAGAAAAACTATAGCCAAAAACGGTCCGTACAAAAAATGAATAGAGAAATGAACCACCAAAGAGAAAAAAAGTTTTAATTCAATCCATCCATACTCTCTTTCTTCCTTTTTCATGTTTTATGCTCACTCTCACGATACAAAATCCCTCCAAGGTGGGTTGAGATGCCATGTTTTCTTTACCAAAAAAAGTAATTAAGAAGCCATGTTTTATTTATCCCATATACCTCAAATTATATACAATCATTTAGCTTAAATTTTTATTTCAATTCTTCATACTAACTAGATTTGATATCATATTTCTTGTCTGCTATAGAAATAAAAAGTAATGCATTCATTAAAAATTATACTACGAATTACTATAGCTTTTTGTATGATGATTATTACAGGCAGGATTTCGGTTTGGAACAACTACGTACATGTGTTTGATGTTTGCAATGGGGATAATTTTAGGGATGACATTGTTCTCATTAACAAGTTACGATGATAGAAATCCAAATGCTTTAGGTTACTGGATTCAGTTTCATCAGGAATACTAATTTACAAGGCCTTGGTTGATCTTATAACCATTAACTTTTATCACAACAAGCTTATGAACTCTACTCCTCGGTTGAAGAAAATATCTTTTGTTGCTTTGACCATTGGTTTTGATGCAATGTTTATCCTTGCCCTTTGAGCTTGAAAATTTTTTACCTTGAACTTTCTATTAAATGTGTAGCTTTCTAATGGATAAAACAAACCTACACTTGAATCATGTAAGCCATTTCAAAATGGTTCCCTCTCATATTCACCCATATCAAATTCATATGTATCTTATGATGGAACAGTGACCATAGCTTATGTACCAAACGTTAAGATGGAACCGAACGCTATGTCCTGCACCGAACGGTAAGATGAAACCGAACGGTATAGAAAGAATAGAGGAAATATTCTCGTTTTTAAATGTACTTCAAAAATTGTATTAAACTGAGAAAGGTATGTGTACCTTATATACAGACAATATAATAGGTGTCTTGTTGTTATAACAACAGCTGTCAATGTAAAAGAAAATGACTTACATCCTAATATGCCCCCTTAAGTCGGATTATTTATTTCTACAACTCCTATGCTTCTTCAAACAATCAAACCTATCAAATTTCAAAGGTTTGGTAAACAAATCAGCCAGTTGTACTTCAGTTTTGCAGTGAGTCAAAACAGTTCTTCCCTTATCAACCATGTCCCTCAGGAAGTAAAACTTAACCTAAATATGTTTACTCGTCCATGGCTGACAGGGTTTTTGGCCAAATTGATTATGGAAACATTATCAATCTTCAACTGAATTGGCTTCTCCAGAGGCATCTTCAACTCTTCCATCAACTCCTTAATCCAAACCCCTTGACAAGTAGCAAATCTCCCAGCTATATACTCTGCTTCACAGCTTGAGAGTGCCACCACCGGTTGCTTTTTAGAGCACCAAGAAATGAGAGCATCGTTCAACATGAAGATATAGCCAAAGGTGCTTTTTCTCTCAACTGGATCACCACCATAATCTGAATTTGAGTAACCTGTTATCTCCTCTGCAATTTTCTTTCTTCTAGAGGGAAATAGCACACCACAATCCATTGTGCCTTTGATGTACCGTAGCACCCTCTTTGCAACCATCATGTGTGTTTTCTTCGGTTGGTTCATAAACATGTTGATCACCCCCACACTAAATGCAAGATCAGGTCTGTTGTTGCACAAAAACCTTAGAGATCCAATGATCTGCATGTATTCTATTTCATCTGCATCTTCTTCAGCCTCATCCTTCACAAGTTTCAAGTTTGCCTCCATAGGACTTTTTGCAGCATTGCATTCCAACATATTGAATCGTTTCAGCAATTCACCTGCATATTTCTTTTGATGTAGCATCAAACCATTTGTTGTATGTATGAACTCGATACCTAGAAAGTAGCTTAAGTTCCCCAAATCAGTCATTTCAAATTTAGCTTCCATAATCTTCTTGAACTCATCTATGAATCTTGGATTAGATCTAGTGACAAGTAAGTCATCCACATATAGGCAGATGATGATCAGTTCCTTCACAAAATCTCCCTTCACATATACACCATGTTCAGCTGCACATTTGTTGAACTTTTCCTTGATTGAGTAAGAGTCAATCTTCTTAATCCAAGCTCTTGGAGCTTGCTTCAGCCCGTATAATGCTTTATGCAGCTTATACACCTAGTGTTCCTTCTCTTTCTTAATGAAGCCAGGAGATTGTTGCACATACACCTCTTCCTCCAATGGTCCAGGCAGAAAAGTAGATTTGACATCCAGATGGTATAATGGTCATTCCCTTGCACAAGCCATAACAATTACCAATATAATAGTCTCATGCGAGCCACTAGTGCAAACACCTCCGAGTAGTCTAAGTCGTGCTTTTGGAGAATGCCCTTTGCCACAAGCCTTGCCTTATGCTTAGAAATTGTCCCATCTAGATTCAATTTCTTCTTAAAGATCCATTTCACACCTATGCTTTGTTTTCCAGCTAGGAGGTCTACTAATCTCCAAGTTTTAGTCTTTTCTATTCATTTGATTTGTTCCTCCATTGCCCTACTCCAAACTGGATGCTCCATTGCTTCAACTTCATTCAATGGTTCTGCTCCAGCCATTAAGGCTATGTGCACCAGATTTCCTCCCTCATCAATCTACGCATCTGAGTAGACTTCAAAGTCGGATAATCTCTGAGGAATCACCTTGTGCCTTTGTGGTCTTTGCATTACAGTGTGTTGAGATGAATTAATGTGTGCAACATATTCTATTTCCTCTACAGAAGTAGGATAATCAATGATACCCTTCACCTTTGCCTTCTTCAAACTGGATTTCATCTCATTCCAGTTCCAACTTTCATCCTCGAGCACAATTACATCTCTGCTCAACACCATCTTCTCCTTAATGGATCATACAACTTGTAGGCACTAGTAGCATGATATCCAACAAATATCATTGCTTCACTCTTATCATGAAGTTTAGTGCGCTTCTGGTCTGCTATATGATTGTACGCTAGTGAACCAAACACCTTGAAATAGCCGACTGTTGTCTTCACTCTAATCCAAACTTCTAGAGGTACCTTTCCCTCCAATCTCTTTGTTGGACATCTGTTGAGAATGTGGATAGATGTAGACACAACCTCTCCCTAAAAACTACGTGGCATGTTCTTCTCCTTTAAGAGACATCTGGCCATGTTCACAGTGGTTCTATTTCTCCTCTCTGCCAAACCATTATGTTGTGGTGTGTAAGGTGCTATGATCTCGTGCACAATTCCACAACTCTGGCAATGTTTCTCAAAGGCACCAGAAGTGTATTCTCCTTCTCCATCAGTGCACAAAATCTTTAACTTCTTCTCACCCTCTCTTTCAGCATAGGCTTTGAATTTTATGAAAGTATCAAGTGCATCACTCTTCACCTTGATTACATAAATCCATAGCATCCTGCTGAACTCATCCACAAACGTTATGAAATATATATTTCCAACTAAAGAAGATACCTCAAACGGTCCAGAAATGTCAGAATACACCACCTCTAAACAATCTTTGGCTCTCATTCTAATTTGAGACTTGAAAGGCTTCCTTGTCTGCTTTCCAGTCAAGCAAGAATCACAAACACTTTTTAGAATAGTGATTTTAGGCATTCTAGATACAATCTCATTCTCACCAAGGTGCTTCATGTATTTGAAATTCAAGTGGCCAAACCTGAGATGCCAAATCCAACTTTCATCCTTCTTCACAACAGTCATGCATTCCAAGTTTTCTACTACATTCAAGTTAACTTGGAATGTTTTATTCTGTGAAATCTTGCACCTCAATATCAAGTTTTTGTTATCATCATACAACTCCATCCTGTCACGGTTTCCCATCACAAGTGTGAATCCTTTCTCCACCAATTGTCCAACACTTAGCAAGTTACATTATATTTCTGGAAGAAGCAACACGTTGGTGATTTTTGCCTGTGAACCAGTTTCCCTTCTGATAATCACATCTCCAATTCCTTCTACTTTCAAAACATTGTCATCAGCAACCTTCACCTTACTCTTCTTGGATTCATCAAGATTCACCAACCATTCTTTGTGGTAGGTCATATGATTCGAACAACCCGAATCTAAATACCACATCTTATCTTGAGACTCAGAATTAGTTGCAAACATGGTTACCATTAAAAGTGAGGAGTTCTGAGTCCGAGTCTTCTTGTGCTAAATAAGCCTCCTTGCTCTGGTGTGGCAATTGTAGCACTCTATACTCTTCTTATCTTTCTTCTTTTGATACTTCTCCACACTGCCTTTATCTTCCACTGAATCTGATTCACCATTTTTATCATCATTCGATCTGTTGGGCTTCCAACTCCCCTTCTTCCCTTTCCATATCTTTTGTTTTTTCTTTGCATCATCTTTACATGATGAACCTTCAATGCTTGTTCATCAATCTTGACAGGATTTCTATCAAACATCCTCATCTCATGCGGTTCTAGAGAGCTTTGCAATTCTTTTATTTTCATTTTTTCTAGTTCTCTTGACTCTTCTATAACCACAAATGTAATCAAATTTCTGAGGTAAGGACCTCGTGATCTTTTCAATCAGCATTAGATCTGTGATGACCTCTCCACATCCCTTCACCTGATTGGTAATGGCTACCACTTTGTCAAAATACTCTCTCACTCTATCACCATCCAACATTTGCATCAATTCATACTGTTTTCTCAATGTTTGTAACCTGACCTTTTTTATTTTCTCTCCTCCAGTATGACATCTAACAAGAATGCTCCAAGCTTCTCTTGTCGTCTTTGCATGTTGGATCTTTTCGAAATACGCATCATCTACGCATTGGTGGATTACAAACAATGTTTTATTATCCTTCTTTCTCTCCTTGTTTTTTCTTTCATCTGCAGCATCCATCGACAATTTTTGAAACTCCCCTTCGACGACCTCATTCACAGCTTGGTATCTGAATAATACCCTCATTTGAGTACTCCATCTACTCTAATTTTTCTCCGTAAGAATTGGTAGATTAGCTGATGAGATGTTGCTGCTAGCCATCCTAAACACCCATAATCTTTCACCAAGAAAACACAATTTTGATCTTCTTCATGCTTCAACCACCTTTCCCCAAGCCTAGATGATTTCTAAAGCTCCCAAGCTTTGAACCTTGAGCTCTGGATACCAGTTCTGATGGAATAGTGACCACAACTATGCACCTAACATTAAGATAAAACCGAACGTTATGTCCTGCACCGAACGGTAAGATGAAACCGAACGGTATAGAAAGAATAGAGGAAATATTATCCTTTCTGAATGTACTTCAAAAATTGTATTAAACTGAGAAAGATATGTGTGCCTTATACATAGACAATATAATAGGTGTCTTGTTGTTATAACAATAGTTGTCAATGTAAAATAAACTAACTTACATCCTAATATCTTATATAATTTAGGGAAAAAAATATCAATCATTGGAGTAAATATTTTGTAATGATAGAAAAAATTATCCAGGAAAAGGAATGAAACAATAGTATGGAATATTGATATTAAAATTGGAAAACAATTTCATACAATAGAAAAACGATAACCAAAAAAGGTTTGTACAATAGCAGAATGATAATAAAAAAAGGTTCGTACAAAAATTGAATACTGAAATGAACCACCAAAGAGAAAAAAGTTCTAATGCAATCCATCCATACTCTCTTTCTTCCTTTTTCACGTTTTATGCTCACTCTCACATTACAAAATCCCTCCAATGTGTGTTAAAAAGCCATGCTTTTTTTATCAAAAAAAGTAATTAAAAAGCCATGTTTTTTTACCGTAGATACCTCCAATTATATATATTCATTTAGCCTAAATTTTTATTTCAATATTTTTCATACTAACTAGATTTAATATCATATTTCTTGTCTGCTATAGGAATAAAGAGTAGTGCATTCATTAACATTTATACTGTAAATTGATATAGATTTTTGTATGATGATTGTTACTGGCAGGATTTAGGTTTAGAACAACTGCGTACATATGTTCGATGTTTGTAGTGACAACACTAATGGGGATAATTTTTGGGATTGCATTGTTCTCACTAACAGGTTATGATGATAGCAATTCAAATGCTTTAATCCTGGAAGGGTTATTGGGTTCAGTTTCATCACGATAGGGCCTTGATTGATCTTATAGCAGTTGCTTTTTTCACAACAAGCTTATGAACTCTACTCCTCGGTTGAAGAAAATATTTTTTGTTGCTTTGATCTCTGGTTATGCCACTAGTGTAGAAATGGCCTTGAACGTCACCCCATAGACGTCCGTCCTCAACAACCCCAACGTAAATAATTGACCGGTGGCATATCCGTAAATAAGTGAAACTCTCGACGTCCGTCATGGGGGGACATACGTCTATAATATTATAGACGTCCGGGCCCCACCCACGGACGTCTAAGAGGCTGGAACAATCACCTCTTCAACTCCTCTGTCAGCCCTTTAAATGTCTGTTGTGGAGGGGGCCAGACGTCTATAATATTATAGACATCCGTCCCCCCATATCGGACGTTTCGGGTGTTGACAGGGTGGATGAAGAATTAATTGTCTTCAACCCCTTAAACGTCCGTTGTGGATGGGTCGGACGTCTATAATATTATAGACGTTCGTCCCCCCATATCAGACGTTTCGGGTGCTGACAGGGTGGTTGAAGAATTAATTGTCTTCATCCCCTTAAACACGTCCGTTGTGGAAGGGGCAGGGACGTCTATAATATTATAGACGTCCGGCCCCCCCATAATCGGACGTTTAGGGTGCTGACAAGTAGTTGAAGAATAATTGTCTGTCGGCCCCTTAAACGTCCTATTGTGGTGGGGGACAGACGTCTACAATATTATAGATCCGGCCCCCATATCGGACGTGTCGGGTGCTGAACAGGGTGGTTGAAGAATTAATTGTCTTCAGCCCCTTAAATGTCTGTTGTGGAAGGGGCTGGACGTCTATAATTTTATAGACGTCCGACCCCTCATATCGAACGTTTAGGGTGCTGACAGGTAGTTGAAGAATTAATTGTCTGTCAGCCCCTTAAACGTCCGTTGTGGAGGGGGACGGACGTCTATAATATTATAGACGTCCGACCCTCTCCACAACGGACGTTTAGGGGCTGAAAGAGGGAGTGAAGGGTGATTGTCCATCCTCTTAGACGTCCGTCCCCCCCCCCACACGGACGTCGATAGTTTCACTTATTTACTAGATAGGGCTTTGATTGGTATTTTTTTTTATTAGTGATTGAGGGAGGGCGCATGGGTATGTTACAAAAGGGAAGGCGGGTAGATACTCGAATGGCCGAAACGAAGGGTAAATAGCGCCAGTGATTCTCTGAGCCGGTCTGGATTTTCAACGCCTCGGGAAACTGGTCGAGATAGATTAGATGACAACACCCTTTTCCTCTCTTCGTTACCTAGAGGGCAATCTTATGGCCTTTACCTCCCGCCCGGCCCGAAAATAGAACCCAACCTGTAAGATCCTTGAAAAATATTTGTAAGTTAAATACTAGATATAAAAAAAAAAAAAAAAAGTGACTAGTACATGCTGATAGTAAACGGTGAATAGTATAAAAAAGTGAATAGAAAAAAAAAAAAAAAAATATTTTTGGAAGGATAAGGGTACACGTAGCTTTGATATCAGAAATCTATAAAGTGCAAATAAAAAGTATTTTTGTATAGTAAAATGAATTTAAAAAAATGAATGTTAAAATGAATAGTAAAAAATGAAATAGTAAATTTTTTTGCTATAATAGCAAGAGGGGGAGCTGCAAATTTACACCAAAAGAACTTCGAAAATTTGAGAGAAGAGAGTTGGAAGAATTTCAAAATTTTTTGCAAGGGGATATTCTGTAGTTTTCAGAGGACGAGGAGATTAAGTCTGTAATAGATT